CCCAGAATGTTTTGGTTTTACCTGATGAATTGTTCTTAGTATAAAGCAATTCAGCAGATTTTCCCATCATCTTACATGCATCTATAAATCAATTTACAATACAATGTGTCTACCCCATGGTTTTGATGGGTGGATTTGCCCATGAAAGCATATGATGAACAGATGGTGGAAGAGAAAAAGTCAAAGAGATGAGGGGCTAGTTGGGGTATTCAATCCAAAGAAATAAGATGCGGATGATTTACACTCTATAAACAGAAGACAAACTGATCTCCAGAGAGAAGGAAGAATGGAAATAAATTCACTGTATTCTCAGGAAGTAATCTATCACAAAAGGTCAGCATGCCTTTATGTTTGAAGAAGAAAATGAAAAGGCATCTGTGGCTTATTGTGTCCAAATGTATTATTTCCTTTGAAGGATTCAAAATATTTTTGTCCAACGGAAACTGAGGCCTACATAACTTCTCTTACATGTTTCTGAAGAGTAGTCTGGTTATTTATGAGAAAAAAAGAAAATCAAGTACAATAAAAGACCTCGCAATATTTTTTCTTCATGTGTCAGATGAAAGTTTTGGGTTTACAAGACTTGTCATATTTTATCTGGAATATCAACAGAGAAAAAATAAAGAACACCTAATGCTTTATTTATTTATTCACATTCTCCCCCCCTTTTTTTTTTTCCATTCCTGCATCTTCAAAGGACTCCAGCTGTAATGATCTGTATTTCTCAGGATGCAGATATTCCATTGGTATAGAATGAGAATCTTACTGTTCAGTTTTGAAACTGCAGGAGCAGCTGGGGACCATGAAATCAAATAAGGGGCAGTACTAGAACTCTTCATAGGCTACAGAAATTTGAAAGGCAAAGATCTACTGTTTGAGGAATTTAAAACCATTTCCTTTCAGTTAAAAATGTCCAACCATCCTGTTCCAATTTAATGGAATCCTGGCATTTTAAAATTTTACCCAATTTTACATCAAAGCCCAAGATGAAAAAGGATGGAAATTCTCTATTAAATAACAGAAATTCTCTATTCCATAATGACTGACATTGCCTAGAACACAGACCACACCATAATGTTATTGAAATTAATAAATGAGTACTCTGCAAGCTCCAGAACACATAATGAAATGAAAAATAATGAAACATATAATGAAACACAAAAGTCCATTAAATTTATTATTTTCTATAATGAGAGTCTACCCACCTTATCAAACTTCTGCGATAAAATTTGCCCCTTCTGGGCCTGATGAGTTTTGCAAATGGTGCAAATGAAACAATTCTTATCCAGCATTACCCACACAGAAGAAAAGTGCACACTGACCAAAAATAAGGACATGCAGAAATTCTTTAAATGAAACCACACTGAATGTGCCATTAGGATCCTTCTGTAGAAGAAAATTAGGAGGACAGTCACATTAGGACAAAAAGATGACCTTAAAATATGCACTTTCTGTAAGCCTAGGATGAAGTTAGTGTCTCAGCAGATACCAAATTCTGCTTTGAAATCTGTTTATTGACCTGTAACTTATGCAAGCAGGAAGACTCAAAGGTAATCGACAAGAGAGAGAAAGAAGCAATATGCTGTTGAGTGTACCCTGAGCTGTTTTCTCACCACAAAACTCTCCAATACATGTATGCCTTGTAATTAAATATTGTATAAAATTCTTACTGAATACGATTACCATGGCTTTCAGATATATCTCTCCTGGAAGACCTCAAGAAAACAACAACAACAACAACAAAAAAAAAAAACCACAAAAACAAAAGAAAACCAAAACAAAACCCAAAGCAACAACAGCAAAAAAATCCAAACCAAAAAACCCCAGGCATAATAAAAACAATGCATTCTGCTCTTAATATTTAATATAGTAGAAGGTAAAGTATACTTTTTGTTGCCACTTGCAGCAACAACGCTAACAGCAGCATGTGATTAGGAGTCTGAAGTCTCTCCTTCATCTGAGATTGCTTTCTGAAATCAAATTCAGGCAGAGAGAAAAGGAGAAACAAACAAGTTTACTGCAACTCTGCAGTAGCAAATAATCAAGATAACTACTTAAGGAACATAAAGTAAAGCACCAGATTCTTCAAATGATATGATAATTGAAACACAGGTGTTGAATATCCAGTTATGTGCAGATCTCTCTCCTCTCAGAGAATGGAAAGGGCACAGAAGTATTTAGCCTGAGATGAACAACAATGCAAGGGAAAAAAAACAGCCAGTCTGTGAACTGGAGGACAAATCTATCTCAACCTAAAATTTGTCATTGGCTGTGTTGTACAGGCAGTCTGTTCAAACACATGACAAATGACACTGCTATTCATAGAGCAGGCATAGCACAGGTTGCTACAATCTAAATTGTTACTAATAGTGTCCCATGCACCAAGAAATGTCATGCATTCAGCTGTAGAGCACCACAGGCTGAAGGTGGGTATAAGAGGAAATTTCAGTTATAGTTATATAGTAAAAATTATCCAATAGCTAGCTATATTCAACTAATCTTTATGATTTAAAAAAACCAAAAAGCAAGCAAATCCAAAACAAAAAACAAACAAACAACTCCCCCCCCAAAAAAAACCCCACAAAAAACCACAACAAAAAAACCCCTCCAACCGTTGAAGCTTTTAGCACCTCTTTGCAGTTGCACTGCATTTCAGGAAATGAGAAATATTGAATCTCTGGTAATAAGGAAGCAATATTTTGTTTTGATATCCAAATGCTCCACATCAGTCCTTGATTTGCACAGCTCTGAAAAAAAAGGGTGCATCTTCAACTTATTTGTAGTCCCCTACTGTCTTTTTAAATATATTTCAAGAAGGGGACAGAGTGTCTAGCCAATGAGTTATACTGTATGCATAAAAATATGTGGATAATAATGTTCTTCTTCATACAGCTTCATGGAGAATCCTGGCCTCAGGCCAAACAACTGCAAAAGCAAAGCTTTTTCCCCTCAGCATTTCAGCAAAGTGCACGTAATACATCTTTAAGTAAATTAGTGTTATAACAGGTTTCCACTGATCCATCTTGAAGAGTCAAATGAGAACTAAAAATAGATCCTGTTTTCAATTTCGCCTGAGCACCAAAAATTATTTGAAATCCTCACTTGCCACAGGAAACAAACAGATAAAACTTCTAAATTTGGCAATGATTCAGTAAATATATGTGCCTATTTCAGTATTTAAATCCAGGAGCCAAGGAACTCTTTATTAGAGAAGGATTTGCAACACATCCAATAAAGGTAGGGAGCAAGTGTGACTCTCCAAGAAACCCCTTCCTCTGTAGTCAGATGCTTTGTGGCATTTGCAAAGGAAAGCTCAGCTCAGAGCATGCAGCAGATGCCAAAGCCACCTCTGCAGAGAGGTGCAGAACATGTAAACAGCCACACACCATAACCATTCCTATACTTAAAGGGATTGGCAAAGCAGAGTGAAGATATGATCAGATACTATTCATTGGAATAAACAGGCTAAAAAATAGATCATAATTTCACCTTGAATTATGAAAAGGGGAAACCCTCCTATTTGGAAAATTCCTGCAGAATGGCAAAGTCATTGAATCAGTAACAAACACAGCAAGTATTTGGAAGCAGAAGAGCCCTTAGCTTTAGGGCTGAGGGGATTACATGCAGTTTTTCAAGTAAATACTCCTGGATTTGTCTGAGATAAGTGATTGTATTTTCAAAAATGGAAACAAGATGATCTCATTTAAAGGTTTAGTAGTTCCTTAAAATATTTATGTAAAAAAGTGGTCCCTGGCAAGGAGATTTGGATGTGTGGAAGGAGAGGACAAAAAGTAGAAACAGTAACTCAGCATTCAGCTCAATTTTAGCACATACTTTTCTAAAAAGGATAAAATCATAGTGTATGATTTCATAGATACATTTGAGATCAAATCTCTGAAAGAATATTTCACTGAATGTACTTGACTGGCATAAACCAGGCTACGTCTAATTTTGCTAAAAACAGATGCATGTTAAGTTATTTTTCTTAATGCCCGTTAATAGAATTGGCATCGAGTAACAAAAATTGATGACTTTTTGTATCATTGTCCCAAATGTGATGTTCTGTTTGTTTTTCAGCAAGGCATGTGTATAACACTCAGCCCAGTGGCAGTGTAAGGAGGTAGCACGATTATCATGACATTAAACTAATTAAGATTGGCCTGAAGAAAGCCAAGGGTGCCCTCTTCTCCAGCTCTGTAGAACAAAAGGAACGGGGAGAACAAGGGAAATATTAATCACAGTTTATATAAGAAGTGCTTGATTTTGCTCTGGAATTGCAGCTGAATAAAGTGAAAGGAGAGAAAGGGAAAGTATTTCTTGGTCCATAGAAAAATAACAAATGGGGTGTTAATTGGCAAGTGTTTAAAGGGCTGGTTCTAATCAGGGTAAATGGGCTTGTTTTTCCAACACTGGGTCCCACATCAAACCAACAAGAAACAATTGAAAAAATCTTTGATGAAGAAGGCAAGAGGAAGTGGGTTGTCACCAGCTGCTCGAAGACAAAATCCTCCAACAAGTGTGTAGCAGCAGATGCTGTGTGAAGCACAGGGAATGTAAATGCACATGAGTCATCCCATAAGCTTAGGGGGACAAGCTGCAGGCCAGATCCTGGGGGCAAAGACTTTTGTGGCTTTAACCATCTCCCCACTTGCTTTGTACTTTGTTCAAGTAGACAGTATATTTTTTTGGAAATTTGTTTTTCATCCCTTTTAAAGAGCCCTGAGCAGAAGGAGAGTTTCTTACATAAATATTATTCCTTGGGCCCATGGCATCAAAACAAGGAGATGATCCAGCATCATTGTCTGTCCAGCAGGTAGAAGAGATTAAAGCATTTCCCCCTTTCCCCTCTTTTTTAAGGTTCATGATAATTATAAAAATTGTTAAAAGGATCATTTTTATAATTTCCAGCATTTCACTATTTATTTTACACTTCAGTTTCATAACCTGGCACACTGCAAAAGGACAGAAAATTGGCATAGCAGCAAAACTAGAAGAGCTACCTGCTGTTTTCGTGCAGAGATAATCCTGAGGATACCATCTCAGGCTGGTTGCCTCTGGGCAGAGGGATAAGACCTTCCAAAAGTTGAAGTATGATGGAACTTGAAATGAAAGTGACAGAAGGATGCTCTCCAGGAGTTTTCAATAAAATCCTGTTTCTCTAAAAGAAATAGCAAGAAAGAGACAGAGGGAGGAGTCCCAGACTCAGCTCTTGCCTTGGCTGTCCCAGCTGTATATATTTAGGTATTCTCATACTCTAGTCATTATAAAACACACACTGATTTGCACAATTCCATAATCTTATAAGAAAATAGGTCATTGGGGATTATCAAATTCTCATCCATTTAATTTCAAAATTCTTTTCTTGTTTTCCCCCAGCAACACCAAGGTCTCATATGGAGAGGAAAAAATGGATTTAGCAGAAGACTTTGCTTGGAAGTGGGTCTACATTTTGAATCCATTTTTATGTTTGATGCTGCCATGCTCCACTGTGACAGATTCTGAGGATTCCCTCCTGCCAGTTACCCTCCAGACAGCCATCCCCAATTTCTCCACTGAATTCATGCTACTTAACATGTCACAAACAAGCAGAGGCTTTTTTGTGCTTTAAAGGGGAACTCCAGAGCTGACTGGAAACAGTGATTTAATTTTGTGAAAATATGATGATATTTTGATATTAGAACATACTGATATGCGATCTGTCCTGGTTTAAAGAAAACAAAAACAACAAAAAGGAGTGAGGAGGAGTGAGGAGGATGGGCTCTCAATAGCCAGTGGTGCAGACATTTGGAAATTCATCCACGCTGCAAGGGACACTGCAGGAATATCAAGTCAGTGGGGAAACAATGACACTCTGAGCTGCATTGGGCGATGTTTTTCAGGCTCCATTGAGGTAATGCTGTGAACCTGGTGGAACCTGAAACATACACCTGCAGACTCTATCTGTGGTCAGGAGAGGCATGTAAGATTATAGTTTTCTTTGGAATATTTTATCTGCAAAGCTACTTTTTAAGAAACAGAATACTCCAAACACATTTGTACCTGATCTCAGGAAGGAGGGTTGAGGATTGGGCTTTGCCACGTCTCACTGCAGAGCACAGGTGGGAGCCAAGCATTAGCAAATCCTTCTTCTGGACCTGGGCAAATTTAGCAGGAAAGGAATAAAATTAGATCCTGCTGCCCTTTATCCCTTGTTTGCCAGACATGGTGGAAAGAAACTGCATTATATGTGATCCAAGCCAGATTCTTCTCCAGGCTCATATGTGTCCACTTCTCTAATTGTGTTTCCCATGGTGGTAATAGGGACCTCACTGTAAGAAGGGATGGGACAGCACAGGGCAGCCTGACAGCACACAGCCCTGGGAGCCAAACCATGCCATGAATCTATGGCTAATGGTGCCTGGCTCCTCAGTGATGAGAGTGGACCACAGAGCAGCTACTGTATTTCCAAGGGAGGGAAATCCAGCCTGACTTGGTTTTGTCAAAAGTGATTAGATTTTATAGTGTGCTTATGTACTTCTCCTAATCAAATTAGCATGTTGGCTCAAAATCAGCCTAGCAGAAAACCTCTCATTTCCTTACCCATTCTGCTTCATTTATCACCTGGAATTACCAAAGTTTTGAGATTTTCTTTTCTCTCTGCTGGGCCCAGTTCTTCTTAGCTTATAAAATTTGAAACATTCATCGCCCAAGGTTGCAAGAGCAATGAATATTTATAATCCCATCTTCTCAGCACACTCAGAGGTGTCTCACAGTGTGACTTCATATTAGAAATGTCCCACCTGTGGGGATCACTCAGAAAGACACAGATTACAAATCTGTACAACATAGAACAAGGTCAGTGCCCAAATTATGGGAATTATCACCTTAAAAAAGGTTGCATATCTGATGATGCACTGCCCCAACACTGATTTATAGGTGCTGTACTATTGACTCTCCCCTGTGAAGACAGAATTTCAGCTATTAAGTTAAAAATTATTCCCTGGTTCTTTTCTCGAGGCTTCTTATGAATCAGCTGCAAATTGCATAATGCACTCCTCTCACCCTTTACAAAGGTAGCCCCTATCTCCAACAGCAGGAAATGAAAAAAGGGTTTCTCACCTGGCTTCAGAGTACAGGGAAATATTATAGTTTAAAGAACATAGCAACTAGTGACAAAACACAGGCAGGACTATGACAATGAAAACTGCTTAGAAAATACTGCAAATGAAACTTCCTGACCCTCCAGGCACCTTCTGTTAATTCACTGCAAATATGAGTCTTCTTCTAGGCAGAGGCCATACTCTAAAAAACCCAACCCCCATCCCATTCATCTCCAAAAATGCAATTAAAGCTTAATGTTAATTCAGATTATTTTCCTATTCAAGACAGAGCTATGAGGATTACAGTCAGTTTTAACACTTGTCAGGAAAATATGGTTCCTTCCACTTTGCAGACAGGCAATTAACGTTCAGCAGCAGCACTGAAATTAGAAACTATCTAGAGGCCATTTTAGGCCAAGAAAGTTTTGCCATTGATTTTAATGCATCAAGATATAACGTATTCTCCAGTATCATGCCCTTTCCTATTTTTCCCAAACTTTGGTTGAACCATTAAATTGAAGCCTGCCCTGTAAATCCCATAAGCTATTAATGTAGTTCCCTTAGCTGGAAGATAGATTAATGACCTGAGACTTCTGTAGAATATTTGCTACTTCAGTGCAAATTAATATCATATTTTATCCTCATTTTATACCCACATCCAGCACTTCCTTCTGCAAAGGATACCAGAAGGAGCTGATTATTTAAATGCCAAGATTCTAAATCTTATCTTCAAATTTTTAATCAAGCTGTTAAACATGAGTCTTAAATTGCTGCATTTCCATTTTTCATACTTCTCTCACCTCATTTTTCATGATAAGAACAAATAAAAAATTAAGCACATAGATGTGTTTAGGAGGGGTTTTTTAATACTAATGAAGTTTTTTAAATACTTTATGTTTTTCAGGACTCTGTTCTCCTCCACACATTGGGCTGGGACTAAATTAAAATGCCTATCACTTCACCCAGGACTAAGTTCTCCATTTTAAAATGAGTAGTTTTAAATTTTCTAGGTATCAAATGCTATCCTGCCAATAATGATTTTGTCCACAGTCTCTGATTTTTTATGTATTTTTCTTATTAGTGGAATTCTTATTCCACTGCCTAAAATAATATTGTTTGCTAAACACATTTCTCTGCTGATGAATGCAATTTCTGGAGAAAGCAAAATCATGAAAACCTGAAAATTGCTTGAGACACATGTTTTGTTCTAGAAAACTCAGGTCAGGCCTCCTTTCTGTAGGAATTAAAATTTATGGCAAAGTCTCCAGTTCCTCAGGCAAGCACATCAAGCTATTAGAAGAAATAAAAGAAGCAGAAGTGGGGGAAAAGACAACATGGTTTTCTCTTACTATTCCTTCTTGCCAGCACTCTAAAAAAGTTTGGCCTTTATTTTTAAACAGTAAAACTAGGTCGAAACTTCAAACTTACAGAAAAATTTTTATTTCTATACTTCAAACTCTCAATAATAATATTACTAATAATAAAAGGAAAAATGCTACGAAAATCACAGAAAACAAACAGCAGTTTGGAGTGAACTACACATCATATTTTCTTTCTATGTTTGTTATTATAAAAAATCTATGAAGAAAACATAGTCACTTCACAAAGTTTTTATTGTTGAATCCTTATGCTGTTTTGGCACCAGCATTAGGTATCAAGTCAGACGCACGTCACAAATTTAAAACAGATTTGCAAACAAAACACATTCACTTACACTTGATTAATCTGCCTTGTGAACTTCATTAGTTGGTATTGGGGATTGCTGTGGTCAAAATATTTTGAGGAGCACACTTTAAACACTCACCTCTCTCTTGATTAGAATTATCCTTTATATCCAGTCTTAACATATTTAGAACTCAATATGACATTTTGAGGGGACCTACAAGGAATGTCTCATTCAACTGGCTGACCACTTCAGGTCTGAACAAAAGGTAAAATATGTTGTTAAAGGTATTCTCTAAATGCTTCTTAAATGCTATCAGACTATTGACAGCCACCAGATCTCCAGGAAGCCTGTTCCAGTGTTTGACCACCCTCTTGGCAAAGAAGTGCTCCCTAATGTCCAGTGTAAACCTCCCCTGGTGCAGGTCAGCAGCCCCTCCTGACTGCAGGAGTTGTATTTGCAGTGTTCCTTCCCTGCTGCCCCATTCCCCAGTGGTGCCAATTGTCAGTGCCCTTCAGAGCAGCTGATGTCCTCCACAGGTCTTCCTCCAGCAGCTGAACTCTTCCTTGTCCCTGTAGTCATTCCTGTGGATTGACTTTTCTGTGGATTGACTTTTCTGTGGCTCAGCCTGCCATGTCCTCCTGTTCAACAAGGGTCTCTGACTCCTCCTGTCTTCTCCTCTCTCTTACACAGTTTCCTCCATGGCCATCTGAATGTCACCATGTGTGTGACCATGCTGTGAATCTTCCCTTCCAGCAGTGAAGGTACACTTGGCAAAAGGTTTGGCTGTGCCCTGAGGTTCAGCTCAGTGAATTAACCACGAGAAATTACTGGACAAGGCAGAAAACAGAGCAGGAAGCTAACAAGTGTTACAAATAATACCATGAAGGATGACTGAATTTCACAGGTAGTTAAGATGTGAAGATGGCCAAAGTGGGAGGTTTAGATTGGCTATTAGGAAAACTTTTTTCACTAGAAGAATTACTAAGAATTGGAACAAGTGGCCCAGGGAAGGTATTAACCTGGAACTATATAAAATAATTAAAAGTGTTGTTGTGGCACTTAGGAACATGATTTAGGAGTGGACTTAGCAGTGTTAGGATAAAAGCTGGACTCAATGGTCATTTCCAACCTAAATGATTCTAAGGAATCTCACATATAATGGAGGGGAGAACAAAGGCATTTTGAAGAGTAAACCCTTGCTAGGTCGCTAGGTACTGCCAAATGATTGGCTAGGAAACCCTATCAGAAACACCAAGTTCAGATACAGAGGTAGCAAAAGAGATTTGTGATGAAAAAGCAACCAGGGTACAAAATTATTTGAGAGTAGAGTGAAAGGGAGGTGATCAAGATAAATGAGAGAACAGGCATGGAGAATGGAGGGGAAGGGAAGAAAAGGGGACAGCTGAGTGAGCTGCTGTTGTTTGAGCTCTGCACCTGATGACCACAATCAATCCTCTCTTCTCACTGAACTCAACTCCTGTTTTCTGAGTAAGGGGTCTACCATGAGAATTCCTGCATGGACCCTTTGTTTGAGAAATAGCTTTGAAGTTAGAAAAAAGAGATACCAGGATACAGAAGCAAGAGAGGTAGCAATGTAGGGAACATGAAAAAATTCAGAATGACAAACTCTGCCTGTCCTGGCTTCAGCTGGGACAGTGTTAATTTTCTTCCTAGTAGCTGGTACAGTGCTGTATTTGAAATTCAGCATGACAATAATGTTGACAGCACACCGAAGTTTTGGTTGCTAAGTAGTGTTTACCTTAGGTCAGGGATTTTTATGTCTATGCTCTGAGAGTGAGGAGCTGCACAAAATCTGGAAGGGAACAGAGATGGGACAGCTGACCCAAACTGACCAAAGGAACACTCCACACCACAGAGCACCCTGTATGAACTGGGGGAGTCACCCAGAAAGGGGCTGACTGCAGCTCAGGAATGGGCTGGGTATCAGTCAGTGGGTGGTGAGTAACTATGTATTATTTGTCTTTTAGGTTTTATATCTCTCTCTCTCTCTCTCTCTCTCCCCCTATTCTTTTTATTACTATTATTGTTATTTTAGTTAATTTCAATTATGAAATTGTCCTTATCTCAACACATAAGTTTTACTTTTTCCCCCTGATTCTCCTTCCCATCCCACCTGAGGCAGGGTGGGGAGTAAGTGAACAGCTGTGTGGGACTATGTTGCCAGCTGGGGTTAAACCACAACACCCCCATAAAATTCCATGCAGACACTGCTGTCTATTGTCTCTGGTTCATTGGTGCCCAAGCTGCTAAGCCTTTTGGCAGGGAAAATCAGAATGCATTTGACTCCACTCTGCTGCAGCCAGCATGCTTCCAGTGCCCAACATAATTATTTTAATGCCAGGTCCAGTACCACTGCACTGCAGCACTG